GTAGGGCTGGGAGTGGTGGCTTGTAATCATAGCACTTTGGGAGGCCGAGGCAGGCGGATCACTGGGTCAGGAGTTCAAGGCCAACCTGGCCAACATAGTGAAACTCTGTCTCTACTAAAAATACCAAAATGAGCCAGGTATGGTGGTGCGCCTCTGTAGTCCCAGCTATTCAGAAGGCTGAGGCAGGAGAATTGCTTGAAACCAGGAGGCAAAGTTTGCAGTGAGCCGAGATTGCACCACGGCACGCCAGCCTGAGTGACAGAGAAAGACTCCGTCTCGGAAAAAACAAAAACAAAAACTGTGGAAGCGCTCCATTCCTCATCAAGCTTTCAGCGTATTCAGGTATTTATCTCAGTACAGACTCATGGTTTCCCTTTCTAATTCAATGGTATATAATCTGTAATTATCATTGTCTACATGGAGCTCAAATTTTCCATGATTTGTCTAGTGGGAGCCCTTTCAAACTGCTTGTGTTCTTTTGACATGACCTCATTATTCTTTGAGCATTCTTTGATTTATGGTATAAGATGCTCCAGGCTGGGCATGGTGGCACATTCCTGTTGTCTCAGTCAACTGGGAGGTTGAGGCAGGAGGATCACTGTACCCTGGGAGTTTGAAGCCAGCCTGGACAACATAGCAAGACACCTCTTAAAAAAAGAAAACTGAAAATGTTGCAAGTTCATCTTGTATCTTCCCTACCCCAGCCCCAGAACAAGCCATTTCTGGTTCCTTTTAGTAGCGAATAACATAAAAGCCACAATCTAGAATTTAGGTATGCTCATTGCTATTGGAGTGTCACTACTTTCAGGCCCTCTTAGTGGGCAGAGTTATATATATATGTATATGTACACACACTTTCATTTATATGTGTGTCTATGTACATATGATATATACATACACATCTATTTTTTTGTCTCATATACATTGAAATTCATGAGTTCATACCAATACCTTCAATTCCAATCTAACGCCACAAGGTTCTTCCCATGTTTGTAACTCCCTTCTCTGACAGTGAGAAACTCTGGCTTCCCTTATCTTTAATTTACTTGTTTGATCAAACCTTCTGTATGTAACCATCTTCTGTCGCCACCACTACCCCCTCTCCTGCAGATGCTCCTCCATTCCTCTCAAGCTCTGACATCCTGCAGCTCCCAGCCCCTACTCTTGCCTCTCCATGTGGTTAGTCTTTCCTTGCCAAAGCTCTGTCCACTCATGCTGGGCCATGCTGCCAGGTAGAAGCTCCCCTCAGGCTCTGCCCTCCGTGCCAAGCTATCCATGCATCAGCACCTCCTCAGCCTCCTTGGGATCCAACCGCCCATACCAGGTCACTCACTCCCAAGTAATGCCTTCCTACTGCTGCTAGGGGTCACATACTCCACACCAGGCCACCCCTTCACATGCACACCTTCCTTATTCTGGGCCCTTACACTCCATGCTGAGCTGCCTCCAGGAGCGATGCCTTCCATACTCTGTGTGGACTTTGACTCCTCACACCAGGCAGCCCTGCGATTCCAATGCCCTTCTCACCCTACTTGGACTCTGACACCCTCAATCAGGCCCTGCTCTCCTTCCCCTACCCACACTGATGACTTCACTGTTCTTGGGCTCTGATACACCATCTGGGAAGCCCCGCTATGACTCGAGCCATGTTCATTTTGCTTAGGCTCCAACTCCCCTCATCAGGCCACAACACACTGTCCAACCCCTCCTCCTTCCTGCTCACCAGTGTCCACACACACACTCATACACACATATACAACACACACACATATATAACACATACACACATACAACACACACACACAGTGTTGGGCTATGACTCCCTGTGCCAAGCAGCCAGCCTCGGTGCATGACCTCTTTGCTCTGCTCTGGGCCACAGAGGCTCTCCCACCCTAAACCCCAGCAGATAGTCACCTTCTTGGCTCCATCTAATGTCTTTAGGATTGAATAGTTTGATAAGAAAAAAGGACATGGGCAGAGATTTTTTTCTCTTATCCCTGTCCTTCAGGCATTCCTCAGTTATCTTCCTTGAAGACAAACCATATTAGAAGTTTATTACATCTTTCCAGAGTTTTTGTACAGACACTCTTTTCCCCGCTTCATTGTACTATAATTTATTTAACCCCTTATCTCTATGATGGCAGAATTGATCAATAGAATTGACATCTTCCTGACTGATATTGAATCTTCTGGCCAGGCGCGGTGGCTCATGCCTCCCAAAGTGCCTCATCCCAGCACTTCGGGAGGCCAAGGTGGGTGGATCACCTGAGGTCAGGAGGTCGAGATCAGCCTGGCCAACATGGCGAAACCCCATCACTACTAAAAATACAAAAATTAGGCTGGGAGCGGTGGCTCACGCCTGCAGTCCCAGCATTTTGGGAGGCCGAGGCAGGTGGGTCACGAAGTCAGGAGATCAAGACCATCCTGGCTAACATGGTGAAACCCTGTCTCTACTAAAAATACAAAAAATTAGCTGGCCATGGTGGCGGGTGCCTGTAGTCCCATCTACTCTGGAGGCTGAGGCAGGAGAATGGTGTGAACCTGGGAGGTGGAGGTTGCAGTGAGCTGAGATCGGGCCACTGCACTCCAGCCTGGGTGACAGAGCGAGATTTCATCTCAAAAAATAAAAAAAATAAAAAATAAAAAAATTAGCTGGGCGTGATGGTAGGTGCCTGTAATCCCAGCTACTTGGGAGGCTGAGGCAGGAGAATCACTTGAACCTAGGAGGCAGAGGTGGCAGTGAGCGGAGATCGTGCCACTGCACTTCAGCCTGGGAGACAGAGAGAGAGAGACCGTCTCAAAAAAAAAAAAAAAAAATGCACTTCAGCCTGGGAGACAGAGAGAGAGACCGTCCCAAGGGCGACCGCAAAAAAAAAAAAAAAAAAAAAAAAAAAAGGACCGTGTGCAGTGGCTCACACCTGTAATGCAAGCACTTTGGGAAGCTGAGGTGGGCAGATCACAAGGCCAGGAGTTCGAGACCAGCCTGACCAACATGGTGAAATCCCGTCTCTACTAAAAATACAAAAAATTAGCCAGGCGTGGTGGCTCATGCCTGTAATCCCAGCTACTCAGGAGGCTGAGGCAGGAGAATTGCTTGAATCTGGGTGGCAGAGGTTGCAGTGAGTGGAGATCGCACCACTGCACTCCAGCCTGGGCTTTAGGGGGAGCCCCAATCTAAAAAAAAAAAAAAAAAAAAAGATATTGACTCTCCCTGTCCAAGAGCATGGTACTTTCCATATGTTCAAGTCTTCTTTCATGTTCATCAGTAGTGTTGCTTTCGTTGTTGTTTCGTTTTTAATTTTTTTTGAACACAGGGTCTTACTCTGCTGCCCACGCTGGAGTGCAGCGGTACAGTCACAGCTCACTGCAACCTCGGACTCCTGGTCTCAAGTGATGCTCCTGCCTCAGCCTCCCAAGTAGCTGGGACTAGAGGCACACACCACCACGCCCAGCTAATTTTAAAATTTTTTGCAGATACAGGGTCTTGCTCAGTCTGGTCTCAAACTCCTGGACTCAAATGATCTTCTCACCTTGGCCTCCCAAACAGCTGAGATTACAGGTGTGAGCCACCATGCTTGGCCCCTCAATAATGTTTTAAATTTTTCTTCATATAAATCGTGCACATTTTTGTAGATGTATAGACATTCCCATGTGTTATCTTTTGTGCAGCTCTTGTGAATGACAGATTCCTTCTTTGATCTGTTGTATAATTAGACTCATCTGTAGAGGACCAGTACGGACTGGCTGTAAGACCCCTGTACACCTGCAATGATTATTTCTTCTGGCATGATCACAAGCAATAGGGGTGGTAATCTTAAGACTTCAAAATCATTGATATCGGCAGGGAGGTAGCTAACACTTACGTAATATATGCCAGGCATTACGCTGGTGTTTTTTGTTTTGTTTTGTTTTGTTTTGTTTCTGAGATAGAGTTTTGCTCTTGTTGCCCAGGCTGGAGTGCAATGGCACGATATCGGCTCACCGCAACCTCTGTCTCCTGGGTTCAAGCGATTCTCCTGCCTCAGCCTCCTGAGTAGCTGGGATTACAGGCACCTGTTACCATGCCCAGCTAATTTTTGTATTTTTAGTAGAGACAGGGTCTCGCCATGTTGGCCAGGCTGGTCTTGAACTCCTGACCTTGGGTGATTCATCAGCCTCCGCCTCCAAAAGTGCTGGGATTACAGGTGTGAGCCAACGTGCCCAGCCTATGGTGGTGTTTTAAATAAATGTATAACATGTATATGAAACAGATGTTATTATTCTCACTTTAAAGATAAAAAATCAGAAGTCTAAGGTCACAGAAGCAGTCAACTTTTTTTTTTTTTTTTCGAGATGGAGTCTCACTCTGTTGTCCAGGCTGCAGTAAAGTAATGTACTCTTGGCTCACTGTAGCTTCCGCCTCGCAGGTTCAAGTGAGTCTCCTTTCTCAGCCTCCCAAGAGGCTGGGATTACAGGCGTGTGCCACCACGCCCAGCTAATTTTTGTATTTTTAGTAGAGATGGTGTTTCACCATGTTGGTCAGGCTGGTCTTGAACTCCTGACCTCGTGATCCGCCCACCTCAGCCTCCCAAAGTGCTGGAATTACAGGCATGAGCCACCATGCCCGGCTAACTGTTTTAAAATTTTATTTTATTTTATTTTAAGTTCTGGGATAATTGTGTGGGACGTGCAGGCTTGTTACATAGGTAAACGTGTGCCATGGTGGTTTGCTGCACCTATCAACCCATCACCTAGGTATTAACACCCGCACGCATTAGCTATTTATCCTGATGCTCTCCTTCCCCCACCTATGCTTCCACAGGCCCCAGTGTGTGTTGTTCGCCTCCCTGTGTCCATGTGTTCTCATCATTCAGCTCCCACCTATGAATGAAAACATGCAGTGTTTGCAAAACTTTCACACTTCAAAGCCATTAGTTTCTAACACAACTCAGAAGAAGCTGTAGTGAACAGTGAGGTGACTGGTTGTTGTTGACTGTGAGACTTCCATCCTCCATCACTAATTACATACGACTTAAATGTATTTTATTAAGTAGATCAAACTCATTACAAGTACTGTTTCTTAGACATTTAAGGTAGTATACATTTTTGCTAAATGGTGAAAAACAAATTAAGTAATCATCTAAATGGCCTCCAGATTCCATGTGTCCTTTTTTTCATACTTTCACTATTGTTTTCCCCAAATTATCTCCTTTCAGCATTCCCATAAATGCAGCTGGCATGTTTTCAAATCCTTCAATGATATATTCCTTGTCCTGGATTTTACCCTGTATCAAAGCAATAACAAATTTCAAAACTTAATTTAATATTCTCAATGATATACTGTTCTCATCCTAGCAACAAATGTATCAGGTACATCATTGGAAACCTTGAAAATAAGAGATGGAGGTCCTGTCCTCCATGAACTTGAAGTGAAGGGGGGGCAAGATCCACTTACACAGTACATGTAAAAGATTACAAAGTACACCTAAGAAGAACTTAATAATAGTTGTCAGATCATAGTGTGAAGTGTCATAAGGCAGCGATTAAGCAATTTCTTTTTCTTTTTTTTTTTCTTTCTTTTTTTTGAGACGGAGTCTCACTCTGTCACCCAGGCTGGAGTGCAGTGCTGCGATCTTGGCTCACTGCAAGCTCTGCCTCCCGGGTTCACACCGTTCTCCTGCCTCAGCCTCCCGAGTAGCTGGAACTACAGGCACTTGCCACCATGCCCAGCTAATTGTTTTGTACTTTCAGTAGAGATGGGGCTTCACCGTGTTAGCCAGGATGGTCTCCATCTCCTGACCTCGTGATCTGCCTGCCTTGACCTCCCGAAGTGCTAGGATTACAGGCGTGAGCCACCGTGCCCAGCACGATTAAGCAATTTCTAAGTAAGCTGCATAGTAAAGTTTAATAACACAATGATCTCAGAGGAGGTGGCAATAGACAGAGAAAGGAGCACCCTTCATTACCTCTGGTCCCTGAAGAGGCAGGTACTATTCAGGAAATATAAATGGCAGGACACTCTAATAATCTGTCTCCCCTTTAAGCCTAGGTTCTTTCAACATGTGTTTAACCTTTTTCTGGGAGTGTGGGAAGGAAGGGTTCATGTTAGTGAGGAAGGTTCTTCATTTCTCTTTCTACTACAAGGCACAGCCTACTAATGGGAACTAATTTCCATTTTCAGATTTTTTAAGGGGTCTTATATAGAGACCTGAGTTACCTGGTACAAGATTTTCCCTAATGCATTTCAGTGATGGCTTAGCACTCTTTATGGATTTATAGACAAGATTATTTGCTTGAAGTCAGTCAATTACAAAGTAGGGAAACTGAGATTTAAACTTTTTATTATTATTATTATTATTATTATTATTATTATTCTGAGACAGGGTCTCACTCTGTCACCCAGGTTTGAGTGCAGTGGCACAATCATAGCTCACTGCAGTCTCAACCTCCTGGGCTCCAGTGATCCTTCCACCTCAGCCTCCTGAGTAGCTGGGACTACAGGGATGTGCCACCATGCCCAGCTAACTTTTTTAGTTTTTGTAGAGACAGGGTCTTGCTAGGTTCACCCAGGTTGGTATCAAATGCCTAGGCTCAAGTGATCCGCCCACCTCAGCCTCTTAAAGTGCTAGGATTACAGGCATGAGCCACCGCTCCTGGCTGAGATTGGAACTTCTGACTCGAAAGCCCCGACTCATTCTTGTTCTTGAAGAAGAAAGGAATCTGGATAGGGTGGAAAGGTAGAATCCAGTTCAGAGGTTAAAAATAGAGAACAAATACTCTTATGGACTGAATTGTTTGCCTCCAATCCAAATCCATATGTCTAAGTCTTAATCACCAGTGCCTGACAATGGGACTGTATTTGGAGATAGGGCTTTCAGAAAAGCTAATTAAGAGGCCAGGCACAGTGGCTCATGTCTATAATTCCAGCACTTTGGGAGGCCGAGGCAGGTGGATCACCTGAGGTCAGGAGTTGAAGACCAGCCTGGCCAACATGGTGAAACCCCGTCTCTACTAAAAATACGAAAATTAGCCAGGCGTGGTAGTGGCGCCTGTAATCCCAGCTAGTCGGGACACTGAGGCAGGAAAATTGCTTGAACCTGGGAGGCAGAGGTTGCAGTGAATGGAGATCACACCATGGCATCCCAGCCTAGGCAACTAGAGCGCAACTCTATCTCAAAAAAAAAAAAAAAAAAAAGGTAATTAAGGTAAAACAAGGACATACAGGTGGGCCTTAGTCAATATGACAGGTGTGCTCATAAGGAGGTTAGGACACAGACACACAGAGAGAAGGCCACGTGAAGATGCGGGGAAAAGGAAGCCATCTACAAGTCGAAACAAGAAAGGCCTCTAAAGAAACAACCCTGCTGACACCTTGATCTTGGACTTCTAGCCTCCAGAACTGTGAGAAAATAAATTTGTTGTTTAAGCCACCCAGTCTGTGGCACTTTATTTGGCAGACCTAGCAAACTAATACAAATACTAATGGAAAATGTTAATAATAGGGGAAATTAGGGTATAGGATGCAGGGTATATGAGAGCTCTCTGTACTATCTTCCCAATTTTTCTATAAATCTAAAACTTCTATTTTTATTTTTGTTTTTGAGACAGGGTCTTGCTCTACTGCCAAGGCTGGAGGACAGTGGCGCATTCAGAGTTCACTGCAGCCCTAGAACTCTTGGACTCTGGTGATCCTCCCACCTCAGCCTCCCGAGTAGCTGGGACTACAGGTGTGCACCACTGCACCCAGCTGATTTTTTTACTTTTTGTTTTTTGTAGAGTCTCATTATGTTGCCAGGGCTAGTCTCAAATTCCTGGGCTCAAGCAATCCTCCTTCCTCACCCTCCCAAAGTGCTGGGATTATAGGTATGAGCCACCACACCCAGCCTAAAACTTTTCTAAAATAAAAAGTGAATTTTAAAAAATAAGGAATGAGATTAAAAAGGGAGGATGAGAAAGAAATTAGGCCAACTCACAACTTAAAACCCAACTAGGGCCGGGCGCCGTGGCTCATGCGTGTAATTCCAGCACTTTGGGAGGCCGAGGCAGGAGAATCACTTGAGGTCAGGAGTTTGAGACGAGCCTGGCCAACGTGGTGAAACCCCGTCTCTACTAAAAATACAAAAAGTTAGCCAGGAGTGGTGGCAGGCGCCTGTAATCCAGGCTACTCGGGAGGCAGAGGCGGGAGAATCACTCGAACCCAGGAAGTAGAGGTTGCAGTGAGCCAAGATCGCGCCAGTGCACTCCAGCCTGGGCGACAGAGTGAGACTCCATCTCAAAAAAAAAAAAAAGACAACTAACTATGATCAGCTTCACTTTGTTAGAGGGAAGCACTGGGGACACCAGCACAGTGGTTTCCTGTTGTCAACTGTGATCACGGATGGGCTCCATTAGATTTCACCAACCGGGACAACCTAGATTCAGCTTTTTGCAGCACCCTGGAGAGAGCCCAGCCCGGCACTCCAAGTGCTAGACTGGGAAGAGCGCCAAGCTCCAGTGGCTGCCGGAGGAGCAATCTATTCCTTTGAATTGGGAAATGATCACTGGCCAGGGATTAGGAAGTAGGTATCATTTTTCCCCTGTAAAACTAAAATAATGTAACTTGATTGTTCAGATTTCTGTTGACTAAAACTTTACATGGTGTAAGGTTTGAAAATTATTATAGCACAGGACTAGCGGATTGTCTTCTTTGCTACTTAGAACCTGGAAGAGCCATGGCACACGTATGCTCCCCTCTAACATTCATTTATTCAGCAATATTTATCCAGTGCCTACATTGCTTCATCTACTCTTCTGGGCACTGGAGATACACCAGAAAGCAAAATGTATGAACATGCTGTCTTCATGGAGGTTACATCCTCAAGAAGGGAGATGGGCAATAAATATAAATGAATAAGTGAATTATAGTATATATTATGTAAAAGATGATTAATTGCTATGGATAAAAGTAGGATAGGGGCTTGGGCAACATGGTGAAAGCCCATCTCTATGAAAAATACAAAAAAGTTAGCCAGGTGTGGTGGCACATGACTGTTGTCTCAGCTACTCAGGAGGTTGAGGTGGGAGAATCACTTGAGCCTGGGTGAAGGCTGCAGTGAGCCACGATTGCGCCACTGCACTCCAGTCTGGGTGTCTGAGTGAGAACCCGTCTCAAAAAAAAAAAAAAAAAACAGGGGCTGTGGGATATGGAGGATCAAGAATGAAGTGGGAATGCAACTTACAATAGGGTCATTTAAAAAGTTGCCTCACCCGGAAGGCACTCCCTTTTTTTTTGTTTTGTTTTTTTGTTTTGTTTTTGAGACAGAGTTGTGCTCTGTCACTGGGCTGGAGTACAGTGGCACAATCTCGACTCACTGCAACCTCTGCCTCCCAGGTTCAAGTGATTCTCCTGCCTCAGCCTCCCGAGTAGCTGGGACTATAGGCGCATGCCACCATGCCTGGCTAATTTGTGTATTTTTAGTACAGATGGGGTTTCACCATGTTGGTCAGGATGGTCTCGATCTCTTTGCCTTGTGATCCGCTTGCTTTGGCCTCCCAAAATGTTAGGTTTATAGGTGTGAGCCACCATGCTGGTCGAGAAGGTACTTTTTAGCAAAGACTTGCAGGATGTGAGAGAGTTCAGCAAGCAGTTATAGAGCGGTGGAGTGGTGGAGGAGACTGGGAGAAGTAAACAAGGCGGTGAATACTAAGAAATGAAATCAGAGAGAGATCAGGGGTCAGATTTTGTGTAAGCTTGCTGAATATTCGCACTTTGGTTTACGCTAAGTGAAATGCAGAGCTTTGCATGGTTTAGATCATAAGAACGGCAGGATTTGATTCGTGCCTTAACAGATCGCTATGGCCACCACATTGGGAATTGTCTATAGGGGTGTGAAGATGGGAGTCCAGATAGAGTCCACTACTGCTGTGGGAAGTCAGGGACCCCAAACGGAGGATCCGACTGGAGCCGTGGCAGAGGAACATAAATTGTAAACATTTCATTTTAATATGGACATTTATCGTTCCCAAATTAATACTTTTATAATTTCTTATGCCTGTCTCACTTTAATCTCTTAATCTTGTTATCTTTGTAAGCTGAGGATGTATATCACCTCAGGACCATTGTGATAATTGTGTTAACTGTATAAATTGATTGCAAAACATGTGTGTTTGAACAATATGAAACCAGTGCACCTTGAAAAGAACAGAGTAACAGTGATTTTCAGGGAACAAGGGAAGACAACCATAAGGTCTGACTGCCTGCGGGGTTGGGCAAAATAGAGCCATACTTTTCTTCTTGCAGAGAGCCTATAAACGGATATGCAAATAGGGAAGATATTGCTAAATTGTTTTCCTAGTAAGGAATATTAATAATTAATACCCTGGGGAAGGAATGCATTACTGGGGGGAGGTCTATAAACGGCCGCTCTGGAGTATCTGTTTTATGCAGTTGAGATAAGGACTCAAATATGCCCTGGTCTCCTGCAGTACCCTCAGGCTTATTGGGGTGGGGAAAAAACTCCGCCCTGGTAAATTTGTGGTCAGACCGGTTCTCTGCTCTTGAACCCTGTTTTCTGTTGTTTAAGATTTTTATCAAGATAATACGTGCACAGGCTGGGCGCGGTGGCTCAAGCCTGTAATCCCAGCACTTTGGGAGGCCGAGATGGGCGGATCATGAGGTCAGGAGATCAAGACCATCCTGGCTAACACAGTGAAACCCCGTCTCTACTAAAAAATACAAAAACCTAGCCGGGTGAGGTGGTGGGCGCCTGTAGTCCCAGCTACTCGGGAGGCTGAGGCAGGAGAATGGCGTAAACCCGGGAGGCAGAGCTTGCAGTGAGCTGAGATCCAGCCACTGCACTCCAGCCTGGGCGGCAGAGCGAGACTCCGTCTCAAAAAAAAAAAAAAAAAAAAAAAAAGATAATATGTGCACAGCTGAACATAGACCCTTATCAGTAGTTCTGATTTTGTCCTTGTCCTGTATCCTCAGAAGCATGTGATCTTTGTTCTGCCTTTTGCACTTTGAAGCATGTAATCTTTGTGACCTACTCCCTGTTCATACACCCCTTCTCCTTTTAAAATCCTTAATAAAAACTTGCTGGTTTTGCAGCTCAGGTGGGCATCACAGTCCTACCCATATGTGGTGTCACCCCCAGTGGCCTAGCTGTAAAATTCCTCTCTTTGTCCCAGTGGCCCAGCTGTAAAATTCCTCTCTTTGTACTCTTTCCTTTTATTTCTCAGCTGGCCAACACTTATGAAAAATGGAAAGAACCTATGTTGAAATATTGGGGGCGGGTTCCCCCGATACACTACAAACATCCAGGCTAGATGGCACAGGGACCAGGGTGGTAGCAGGGAGGTGGGAGAAGTGTTCAGATTCTGTATATATTTTGAAGATAGAACCACCAGAATCTCCTTAGAGATTAGACATGGGTACGAGAGAAAGACATCAAAGATGACTCCAAGGTTTTTGGATTGAGAAACTAGAAGTATAGAATTGTTATAACTGAGATAGTAAAGTTTGAATATGGAGCATGTTGAGTAGGAAAGATCAAAACATATTTAGCTTTCAAGATGTTATGTCAGAGATGTGTATCAGGCATCCAGGTGGACATACTAATCTAGAGTTAAGAGGAGAGCCAGGCTGGAGATAGAGCTGGGAGCTCCCAGCATGCTGAGCCCAGATGAGCTAACTAAGGGACAGCTCGAGTGTGGATAGACAAAGAGAAAAGGCCCAATGACCAAGACCTGGGGCACTCTAATATTTATTTGGAGAAAAGAAAAGTGAGCAGGAGTCTGAGGAGGACCCATCAGTCAGGAAAACCAAGAGTTAAGGGAAGCCAAGGGAAGAAAGCATATCAAGGAGAGAATGATCACTATTAAATATTTCCCATAGCCAAGTGAGGCTAAGAATCAACCAGTGGACTTCACTATGTAAGGGTCCCCTGTGACCTTGACAAAAGTTAATTTTGGCCAGGTGTGGTGGCTCACATCTGTAATCCCAGCACTTTGGTAGGCTGAGGAGGGCACATCACTTGAGACCAGCCTGGCCAATATGATGAAAACCTGTCTCTACTAAAAATACAAAAAGTTAGCTGGGTGTGGTGGTACACACCTGTAGTCCCAGCTACTCGGGAGGCTGAGGCATGAGAATTGCTGGAACCCCGGAGGCAGAGGTTGCAGTGAGCCGAGATTGCACCACTGCACTCCAGCCTGGGCAACAGAGTGAGACTCTGAAAAGCCTGATATGTGGGTTTCAGGAAGAATGGAAAGAGAGGAACGGCAGACAGTAAGTGTAGACAGCACTTCCGGGTATTTTGTTATAAAAGAGAGAGAAGGGAAATGGACCTGCATTTGCAGTGGAAATGAACTTTAGAGAGGGTTGTTTTGTTTTCCTTTCAAAGCTGGGAAAAGTAAGAATATTTATATTCTAAGCACAAGGACCCAATAGGGAAAAACTGATGATGCGGCAGAGAGAGGGAAGAATTGCTGGAACAAAAGCCTTGAGAGGCAAAAGGGAATGGGACCTAGTGTACAATTGGAAGGGGTGGCTCCAGAGCTCCTTACCTCTGAGACCCATTTCAGCAAGTCCTTCAGAGCTTTTTGGCGGACATCTCCTTGCCAGCGGTAGACGACAAAGCCTTGTATGTGAAGCTCCTGAAAGATAACAATCTCTGGGGGTGGACCTGTGAAGAGAAGGGCACATTTGGGCGGCAGGATCCAGGGAGGTGGTTGCAGTGAAACAAGTAGTACAGGTCACTGTCACTACACTTGGTGCTTGGAGTTTCCTGGTGCTTCTCTCATTCTGTTTCCTCACTCCTTTCTGATCCACGGGACTGCTGGCCCATCAACATGCACTCTGCAGCAGGCAGAATAATGGCTCCAAAGATGTTCATATCCAAAAACCCCAGAACCTGATACCTTACATGGTAAAAAGGACTTTGCAGATATGATTAAGAACCTTAAGGGGGACGCGGTGGCTCACGCCTGTAATCCCAGCACTTTAGGAGGCCAAGGTGGGCAGATCCACAAGGTTAGGAGTTCGAGACCAGCCTGGCCAACATAGTGAAACCCCCATCTCTACTAAAAATTAAAAAAAATAAAAAAAATAAAACAATCCAGGCATGGTGGTGGGTGCCAATAATCCCAGCTACTTGGGAGGCTAAGGCAGGAGAACTGCTTGAACCTGAGAGGTGGAGGTTGCAGTGAGCCAAGATTGTGCCACTGCACTCCAGGCTGAGTGACTGTATGAGACTCTGCCTCAGAAAAATAAAAATAAAAAAAGAACCTTGAGATGGGAAGATTATACTCCACTATAAAGATGGACCCAACACAATAGCACAGGTCTTTGTAAGGGAATGAGGGACATAGGAAGGTTATAGTCAGGAACGGAATATGGGGTGATAGAAGCAGAGATGAGAGAGAGGAGGAGGAGGAAGATCCTATGCCACTGGCTTTGAAGACAGAGGAAGGGGCCACATGCCGAGAAATACAGGCAGCTGCTAGAAGCTTGAAAAGGCAAGGAAACAGATTCTCCTCCAGCGTCTTCAGAAGGAATGCAGCCCTGCCAACCCACTTTACTTTTAACCTCCAGACCTCTCAGAATAAGTGTGCGGGGTCGGGTGCATGGCTCATGCCTATAATCCAGCATTTTGGGAAGGCAAGGCAGGCAGACCACTTGAGGTCAGGAGTTTGAGACCAGCCTGGCCAACATGGTGAAACTGTGTCTCTACTAAAATACAAAAATTAGCTGGGTGTGGTGGCACATGCCTGTAATCCCAGCAACTCAGGAGGCTGAGGCAGGAGAATCGCTTGTAGCTGGGAGGGGACTGCAGTGAGCTGAGATTGTACCACTGCACTCTAGCCTGGGTGACGGAGCGAGACTCAGTTTGAAAAAGCAAAAAAAAATTTTTTTTAGGTTTTTTTTTTTTTTTTTTTTTTTTTTTGGTCAGAGATGAGGTCTCACTCTATTGCCCTGGTTTGAAACTCCTGGGCCAAGCAATTCTCCTGCCTCGGCCTCCCAAAGTATGGGGATTACAGGCATGAGCCACTGCACCTGGCTAAGAATTGGTATTTCTAATAAGCTCCCAGGAGATGGTGATGCTGCTGGTCCTTGGCCCACACTTTGAGAACCAGCACCCCAGACAAAGCACACAGCTCTCCTGCAGCCTGTGAAGAAGGTACTCCCATTCTGTGTGTGAGGAAGAAAAAGTTTTTTGGTTGCCTAGTTGATTTTCCCAAGTGTCCTAATTGACTAGAAACTGAGAGAATGACACCTGAGCATGGGCTTTCAAGTTCAGGAAGTCAGGCGAAGATGCCTAGGGAATATCAGAGCCAGCTGTGCTAAGACGAGTGGTGGAATCTAGCTTCAGCATCGTTGACCACTGGCACCACTCAGCCTAAAGTTCCCACTGACTACTTTGAGGAAAGTAACATTAGCAGTTGGAAATATGAAGCTTTGTCCTGAACCAAAAGAAACTAATGCAAGAGAATGAGACAGAAAGATTGTTTCTTCAGAAGACCCACGTCAACTATTCTTTGTGAGTGAGCGATTGGAACTCTCACTTCCTCATCTTAAATGAAAATGGGCTGGGCATGGTGACTCATGCCTTTAACACCAGCACTTTGGGAGGCAAGGTGGGAGGATCACTTGAGCTCGGGTGTTCAAGACCAGCTTGGGCAACACAGAAAGACCTCATTGCTTCTAACAAAAATAACAATTGGCCAGGAGCGGTGGCTCACGCCTGTAATTCCAGCACTTAGGGAGACCTAAGGAACTGGATCACGAGGTCAGGAGATCAAGACCATCCTGGCTAACACGGTGAAACCCCATCTCTACTAAAAATACAAAAAATTATTCAGGCGTGGTGATGTGTGCCTGTAATCCCAGCTAGTCGGGAGGCTGAGGCAGGAGAATCGCTTGAACGTGGGAGGCAGAGGTTGCAGTGAGCTGAGATCGCGCCATTGCACTCCAGCCTGGGTGACAGAGTGAGACTCTGTTTCAAAACAAAACAAAAAACAATTATCCAGGTATGGTGGCACATGTCTGTAGTCTCAGCTACTTGGGAGGCTGAGATGGGAGGATCACTTGAGCCTGGGAGGTGGAGGCTGCTGTGAGTCATGTTTGTGCCACTGCACTCCAGGCTGGGTAACAAAGGGAGACCTTGTCTCAACAAACAAACAAAAACTCCAGTCTGGGAAACAGAGTGAGACCTTGTCTCAAAACAAACCAACCAATAAAGGAAAAAGCAAAATGAAAGTGAAATGCTGTTTCTGGGTTTGTGCGTGTTGATGAGAATGTCGGTTTTTGTTTTCTTACTGAGAGCAAAAAAGCAAATGTGACATTAAACATGGAGGAAATCATTGCTTGCCTCTCAGCTATCCTAACACTGGAATATGTTAGAATTTCTGGGAATCTGTGGCAGGGCAGAATTCCATCTGATTAAAATGGAATGGACAAGGCCAGCTGACATCTCAAAGTGCTGTTTGAGCAGCTGAGCTTCCAAAGACTAATTGCTAAAAAGACTAGGTCGAGTTACTGTATCCAAAATAGCTGGCTATTCCTAATTGGACTGTGGTTAAGAAAAGGCCTCCTGCAGCTTTGCTCAGTTGGCAGGCAGACAGTTTCCCATGATTCCAGCTTAGCACCAGTTAGAAAATTATAGGGGGGAAAAAAGTCCCTAACAGTAAGATTGCCAAGTAAATCTGGAGTTACCTTCTGGTAATGGTTTTGATTTTTCACAACCTAAGAGGGAGTCAACAAGTTGCCCTTTGTCAGCCCCTTCCTTTGTAGCCCCCTCATCTCCATACGGTTGTGGGGCGGTTAACTAGTGGGGCCATAAGGTTTCATTCCCTTTAGTCAAGCTCATCATAGAATAAATAACCAATTGATTTATGGTTGCCTGGATCCTGATTAGAGTCTGGAACATTCCTTTTTTCCTTCTTTCTCCTTTTTTTGGGGGGATCACAGGTAATTTGTGATCTCTCTTAATAGCACAGGATCATTGTAGCAGAAACAGACTCTAAATGAGGCGCTTAGAAGACTGGTCTTTGTTTTGACTCTGTTGCCAATAGGAGTTAAAGAGTCTCTGGTCCTCTCGGCCATTCATCTCCCCACCTGTAAAACGAGAGGCCTGTACAAGGCATCTCACAGGACAGGGATTTAATGAATATGGTTCTCTGGTTGATACTGCGTTTGGACCTCAGAGTGTGGAGTGGGAGGGGCGTGGTTTCAGCATAAGAGACTAGGGAGTGGGGAATGCAGTTCATGGCAGGGCACCAGAGAAATAAAACAAGGACACTCGAGGAATAGAGGGAAGCTGCTGCTGCCTTCCTGTTTAGTGGCAATTGTCAGCCTGCTGAGGCCAAGGTGCCCTACTGCTCCAAGAAGCACTGCCCAAGATTTCTGAAGGACATGGCAGCCTGCCCTTCCCTTCACCCACAGCAAGTCACCCTTTATTCCTCTCGCACCTTCAGCAATGTCTCTGATATCCAGAGGAGCCTGAATATTTTACCAGCCAGACCAAGGTGTGCTGTTTCTAAATCAAATCATCACTGTCTTTTTACAACTTTGCATTAAATGATAGGTAAAAACTAAAACTTTTAATAACTGTTTCTTCTATATATGTAGATCCTGCTATTTCTCTATATAAAAAATCAAATATAAGCTGATTTAGCACAAAATATATGAAATTGTTGTTGTTTTCATTATTTTGAGACAGGCTCTCACTTTGTCACCCAGGCTGGGGTGCAGTGGCACGAACACAGCTCACTGCAGCCTCAGCCTCCCAGGCTCAAGCAATCCTCCCACTTCAGCCTCTTGAGTAGCTGGGACTACAGGTGCACACCACCACGCCCAGCTTAGTTTTGTATTTTTTGTAGAGATGGCATTTTGCCACGTTGCCCAGGATGGTCCCAAACTCCTGAGCTCTCACAAAGTGAGACTCTATCTTAAAAAAAAAAAAAAAAAGAATATATGAAAATCTTTCTAATAATTTCAGAGTCACTGGCCTATGGCATATCTGTGAATTTTCTCCTTGTCCAGCCTTGTGACATGTGGGATCGTGCGCATGTGCTCATTACCTGGGGGGAGTGGGCCGGTTCTGTTATATGTAGAGATGGCTCCACATATGGCAATCCTTCCAAATTTCTTCATCTGGCCAATAACAGTGTTTGAAAACTCTCCACCTACCTAAAGAGACAGGAAATACAAAACCAAAGGCAAAACGTTAAATCGTCTAAATACTAGAGATTCAGGAAAATCATTGAATCACAATCATTATTTTAAAATACTCATTTTAGCAGCAACAAAACTGATTGAATGAGCCCAACTGTGCAGAAGGTTGCAATGAGAAAAAGACATTAGAAACAGGCATTTTCGGCCGGGCGTGGTGGCTCACACCTGTAATCCCAACACTTTGGGAGGCTGAGGCGGGTGGATCACCTGAGGTCAGGAGTTCAAGACCAGCCTGGCCAATATGGTAAAACCCTGTCTCTACTGAAGATACAAAAAATTAGAAGGGCATGGTTGCGGGCTACCCTTAATCCCAGCTACTTGGGAGGCTGAGGCAGGAGAATTGCTTGAACCCGGGAGGCAGAGGTTGCAGTGAGCTGAGATCACACTACTGTACTCCAGCCTGGGCAACAGAGCAAGACTCCATCTCAAGAAAAAAACAAAAAATAAATAAACAGGCATTTTCATTTGACTCTAAGACCATACCGTTTTTAACTTATACATTTTACTTTATTATATATTGAGGTTCTCTGATCAGTCCAATAACCTCATTGTCTTATAATTTAAAGGTATGGAAAAATACTCAAAAGGTGTATAAAGAACAAAACTGGAAGACTGGCATTTTTCAATTTCAAAACTTAATACAAAGCTAAATTAATTAAGATAGGGTGAGAATAGAAATATAGATCAATGTAACTGAATCACGAGTCCAAAAATGAACCCTCACATTTATGATCAATTGGTTTTCTACAGAAGTACTAAAGCAATTCAACAGAGGAAAAATAGTCCTTTCAACAAACGGTGCCTAACAACTGGATTTCCACATGGAAAATAATGCAGTTGGGCCTCTTCCTTATACTACACACAAAGATTAACTTAAAATGCATGGTAGACCTGAATATAGGAGCTAAAATTATAAAACTCTTAGAAGAAAACACAGGAATAAATCTTCATGGCTCTGAGAAAGGAAAAGCCTTCTTAGACATGACACCAAAAGCTCAAGGAACAAAAGAAAAATAGATTAATTGGGCGTCATCAGAATTTAAAACTTTTCATGCTTCAAAGAATACCATCAAGAAAGTGAAAGCCAGCCTGGGCAACATAGTGAGACTCCACCTCTACAAAAAAAAAAAAAAAAAAAAAATTAAAAATTAGAAATTAGCTGGGTATGATGGTGCATATCTGTGGTCCCAGCTACTTGGGAGGCTGAGGCAGGAGGATTGCTTGAACCTGGGAGGTCAAGGCTGTAGTGAACTGTGATCACACACTGCACTCCAGTTTGGGAGACAGAGTGAGACCTAGTCTCAAAACAAACAAACAAACAAACAAAGGGCAAAAACAAAAACAGAAAGAAGGTTAAAGGCAATTCACTGAATAGGAGAAAATATTTGCAAGCCATACAGAGTTGGTCCTCATTATTAGTGGACTTCATATTTGCATATTGTGAACTACTTGCTAAAATTGTATTTGTAACCTCAAATCAGTACTCACTAAGCTTTCCCTGGTCACTTGCAGGCATACATGGAGCAGAAAAAAAGATGCAGATATTCTGTGAGGCTGAATAAGGCCATGCTCTGCCTTCTTGTTTCAACTGTTACACAGAGAAGACCAGAGGATGAGGCCACTGCAGCATAGTTCAAGAGGCTCTGGTTCTGGGAAGAGTTGGATGGGGTATGAGTCCCAACTCTGGGGGTATTAGCTAGTGGGGTGGCCACAGGCCTTTTGTCTTTCATAAAATAAAACCATAAAATAAAATTGAACTTCCTTTTGTCTTGCATAAAATAAAAGCTACTGGGATGAGTTGTTTTAAGGATTTAAGATTATAGTCTATGTGAGATATGTACATACATGTACATATTTCCCCTAGAAGCAATGGTTCAGCTTTGGTGGTGACCTTATAGAACATAAATATTGCAAATAATGAAAATCCACTGAATCTAATAAGGGACTTGTAAGATGTACAGAACTCTTGGCCAGACGTGGTGGCTCATGCCTGTAATCCCAGCGCTTTGGGAGGCCAAGGCAGGTGGATCACCCGAGGTCAGGAGTTCGAGACCAGCCTGGCTAACATGATGAAACTCCATCTCTACTGAAAATACAAAAATGAGCCGGGTGTGGTGGCTCATGCCTGTAATCCCAGCTACTCAGGAGGCTGAGGCAGGAGAATCACTTGAACCCAGGTGGCAGAGGTTGCAGTGAGCCAAGATCGCGCCACTGCACTCCAGCCTGGGTGACAGAGCAAAAATCTTTGTCTCAAAAACAAACAAACAAACAAACACAAAAACAAAACTCTTACAACCTCACAAATAACCTAACTGAAAAATGGGCAAAGGTTTTGACCTGACGTTTCTCCAAAGAAGATATAAAAATGGCAAATACATACAGTGAAAGATCCTCAATATTGTTAGCCATAGGGAAATACAAGTCAAAATCAAATCACAATGAAATATCACTTTGAACCCAGTAGGATGGTTATAATAAAAAAGACAGACAATAGCAAGTGTTGGTGAGTATGTAGAGAAGTTGGAACCCTCATACACTGCTTGTGGTAATGTAAAGTAGTGTAGCCACCTTGCAAAAGAGTTTGACAGCTCCTCAAAATGTTAAACATGAAGTTATCATATGACCCAGCAATTTTACTCATAGGTATATACTTAAAAGAAATGAAAACATCCGCACAAAAACCTCTGTGTGAATTTTCATAGTAACATTATACATCATAGCCAGAAAGTACAAGCTAATACCCATCAGGCTGGGTGTGGTCGCTCACGCCTGTAATCCCAGCACTTTCGGAGGCCGAGGTGGGAGGATCCCTTGAGCCCAGGAGTTCCAGACCAGCCTGGGCAACATGGCAAAACCCCATCTCTCCTAAAAATATATAAATTAGTTGGGTGTGGTGGCACAGCCATATAGTCCCAGCTACTTGGGAGGCTGAGGTGGAAGGATTGCTTGAGCCAGGGAGGTCGAGGCTGTAGTGAGCCATGATCACACCACTGCACTCCAGCCTCGGTGACAGAGTGAGACACTGTCTCAAAAAACAAAAAAAGGGAATAAAGCACTGATAAATTCTACAATATGGATGAAACTTGAAAACATTTTTGCTAAGTAGAGAAAGCCAGTCATCAGAGACCACTTTTAGTGGGGAGGAGGGTGGAGTAATGAAGTGACTGCTAATAAGAGTATAGCGTTTTTGAGGGTGATGAAAATATTCATACCGCTTTGGTTCAACGATCTATTATTAACACTAGTAAATCATTGAATTCTACATTAAATGAGTAGATTACATAGTGGTGATACTATCTCAACTCAGCTGTTTTTTAAAAAGGCATATATACTTTCTTCATGTATCCCAAATGGAAACTCTAGGAACATATTTCTTCTTAATGTCAGGTCCTCAACCTTTTTGGCACGAACCAGTTTCATTGGAAATTAATTTTTCCACCGACTGTTGGGCGGATGATTTCAGGAAGATTGAAGTACATTGTGTTACATTGTGCACTTTCTTTCTGTTCTTATTCTGTGCAATATATAATGAAATAATTATACAGCTGCTGTAACATCAGAATCAGTGGGTGAGTTTTCCTGCAACTAGACGGTCCCATCTTAGAGTGATGGAGGCAGTGACAGATCATCCAGGCATCATCAGGCACCTGAGTAGGCCGATCCCCATAAGGAACCCACAACCTAGTTCCCTCACATGCGTGAAGTTCTAGCAGGAGTTTACACTCTTACGGGAATCTAAAGCCGCCATGGTCTGACAGAGAGCGGAGCTTAGGCAGTAATGGGAGTGAGGAGGGAGCTGCTCATACAGATGAAGCTTTGCTTGCTCACCTGCTCCTCATCCTGTTGTACATCCCAGTTCCTGATAGGCTGCATGGACTTTGTAGCTCCATCATGGCGGGGTAGGAGACCTGCTGTATATAGCCTTCATTAATAAATCAGATATTAAGTCCAGTTTGTACTTACATTATCAAAATAACAATCGTAACCATCGGGAAGAGGCTTTCTTCAGGGGTTTCTTCGAAGACTCTACTGTCTTGTGAATTAAAGACAACATCAAATCCAAGCTTTTGAAGGTAGGCAACCTTTTTGTCGAGCCCTGCTGCTGCAACAGCTTGCAGCCCTAAATAGAAAAAAACAAAACAACGCACTAACAACAACAAAAGAAACTGCATGAATAAGCCACAAGCATGGACCATGGACCAACACCACTTTCCTGGTCCAGCACACCTAGGTTCCTAGAACACTCTCTAGGTGCTGAGCCACACATATATAGGGAACCCTCAATAGGCCAAAAGATCCCTCCTCCCTGGACCATCCTGCAACTCCTTCAGCTTGCTTCTGACCACCCAGCAGGTCTCTTCTGTATTTATTTGGTTCTGCAGTTCCTGGCTGGTTTAACAACCGATGCATTTGACTTGTAGTTCTTGGTTTTCCGACTTCTCTTCACTGCAATACAGCATATACCACCTCTTGATACGGTCATTCTTAGACTATTATTTTGTCTCAGCTCTGTAGCTCCCCCTTAAACTGTTGGTCCTCCTGGTAACTTTTGCCCCTCTATCCTTTCTTGATTTTTAGATGTTTATATTTTTTTGAGACATGGTCTCACTCTGGCTGCAGGCTGCAGTCCCAATGACACAAGCACTGGCTGCTGTATAACTCTTAAAAGCTCAAGTGATCCTCCCCTCAGCCTCCTGATTAGCTGGGATACAGGTGCATGCCACTACATCTGGCTTATATTGTTTAAATTTTCATAGAGACAGTGTCTCACTATGTTGCCCAGGCTGATCTTGAACTCCTGGCTTCAAGTGATCCTCCTGCCTCGGCCTCCTAAAGTTGTGGGATTACAGGCATGAGCCCACGGCATGGAGCGCTTTGATTTAGTCCAAAAGCACCAGGCAGGCCAGCTTCCTAATCCAGAGCAGCTAGGAGGCTATTCTGAAAAGCACTTTCAGGATGGGACTACAGATTATATTAGCTCCTCAAACTATTGCAAGAGAGCCATCATGGTCCATACCTTCTAAGACTATGGACTATCATAGGATGATCTCTTGTACTCTCAAGACCTCCTTTATGGAGATTGTCAATTAATCATTAATTCTATCTATTAATTCTAACCCATTTTTTCTCTCCTGAGTTCCAAATCAGTATTTCCAACAACCTTTAGATGTCCTCACAATTGGATGTCCTGGGTCCTCATAGATAAGTGTGTGTTCAAAAGGGAATATCTTTTTTTCCTTCCTTCTTGTTTCTTTTCTATCCACTATTGCAGAGTAGGATACAACTCAGTCATCCAAACCTGACATGACTCAAGAGAGAAGCTTTCCTTTGTCTTATGATCCACATCCAGTCACCTGGTTTTCTTCCTCTTTTAATCCAAACACCCTTAAAAGCTGACTCTGGGCCAGGCGGCGGTGGCTCATGCCTGTAATCCCAGCACTTTGGGAGGCTGGGAGGCAGAGGCGGATCACAGAGGTCAGGGTTTGGAGACCAGCCTAAATAACATGGGAAACCAGTCTCTACTAAAAATACAAGTAACCAGGTGTGGTGGCATGCCTGGAAGTCCCAGCTACTTGGGAGGCTGAGGCAGGAGAATCGCTTGGAACCCAGAAAAAAATAGCAATAAATGAAAAACAAAGTAGAATGAAAATATAAATACTTATTGAAACATTCCAGTTATGATAATTAATATGAATGGCTTAAATATAACTATTACAACTCAGACTTTCAGATGGGTTAAAATTTAAATGCAAATAGCTGCATTTACAGAAACACACATAAAATGAGACAGAAAGGTTGGATATAAAAAGAATAGGTTTAAAAGCAGGTTCTATCAAACTTATGGGGATAAAAACCCATGGCTTTAATAGGATATTTAGAGTGAGATATTTGAAATAATCCTGATTCATTTTGTAATTTACTAATCCAAGCTTAGCTAAATTCCGAAGAAAAAAATAAACTTTAAACCAAATTCGCATGAATATAGATGCGAAATTCTGTTTTAAGTATTTGTTAAGTCAATTACAAAGGTATAAGCCCATAATATAGCGTACACAGGTAAGATTATTCTGAAATGTTACAATGGTTCGACATTTTGGAAAACTAATACAATTCATTCACTGAAATGTGAACCTGATAAATCATGCATAGCATTTTGATAAAAATTAATATCTGCTCTATTTGTTTGCCATAAATACGATTGTTATACTTCTATGGTAGCCTCATATTTGCCTTATTTAGCTCCCATTAGCACTGGAGACCAGTCTGACCTTGGCCGTTGGTTAACAGCCCTGTACTCATCTGTACCTCCATCTAACTTGTCCCCTAGGACCTAGGTCTGAATCCTGCATCCCAGCCTTGGGCAAGGATCGTCAAGGCACTTGTCGCCTTCCCACTATGTAATAACAAATCCCTACTGTGTCTGAGTTGTCGCCTACTCTATACACTCACCATCAGATTGGATCCCTTGAGCAGACATCTGCCTGAATTAGAGCCAATATTTCCTTGTCTAGCGTGCACCCAGGAGTTAGTTCCCAAGCTTCATGGCCCCTGCTCTAGGCTGAATGCCCATTTCTTTCTAGTACAACAGCCTTTGCAGTGGGTATTTGGGTGATGACTCTTAGTTGGCTGATCTCCGTGTGCTTCTATGCTTTGAGGACAATCACGAAAAAAAGGAATTAAACTGGCATTAGATAATTTCTAGTGAAAATACTAAAATGATTAATGCTGATAAACTCACTACTGTACAGACAAGCCATTTCTGACTTGATTGTCGCAATGTTATTAAATAACAATGTTCAGCTTATCTTTGATATAGTTTCCTCATTCTTCCAATTTCTCAATCTCCAACCTACAAAAGACCAATGGACTATAAATTCATGAGATTAAAGGAATATCACTGTGTTCACTGTTGAACCCATTGGGTTAGAATCAGAGAAGCAACCTTTACTGGAGAAAGGCATACATATGACTTGCCAATCTGCCCCACAACAGAGCCCACAGCTCCAGCTGCTCATTAACCATCACTGTTTCTCACCCTTCACCACAGATGTCAAGTAGGGCTAGTAGGCAGTCAAGAGGCTAAAAGGAAGATAAGTATATATGGACAGAGTTTGAACAACCTCACATCAGCTCTCGTTTATATGTATCTTGAAGGGAGCCCTCAATGGTCCAATTTTGTGGTCTGAATTAAAGACAAAAATATAGGAAATAAATATTGCCAGTCACTGTTTGCTTTGCTTCCCTCCATCTCTACTCTCAGATGAGAATAAAAATGAGTGAACTAGGGAGGGAAGGAGAGTTGGCTAGGGGCTGTATCCTGTCTTACTACAGAGGCCAGGCCTGGGGACCAGGTGAATCATCTTTCCAAACTTTGGGATTCAAGAAGAGAAGCATGTATCTGTTCATGTAGGATTCTATGGGATGATACTTCATGGGGCTTCATATTATCATGAGCAGCACCTTACAGATAGCTACGATGTGATATTAGGCATGGGGGTCTGGGAGCATCTGGAGCTTTCCATGGCTCCAAGTGGTATGGAGGCAGCCCAGAATTTCCTGTCACCTAGTGGGAGGTCTCAAGGTGGCTTGCAGAAAAAGAGCTGCTGGACATACAAAAGATGCAGCTTTCAACATTACTGGTGGGGACTGGGTGAGAACCATACCACCTCTTTGGATTGTGAGTTTGAAGGTGATAGGATTGAAGACTCTCTTCACCACAGGATTCTCGTGTATCCCTTCACCTCTTCTCCCCTACACCTGGTTCTGATCTGCAGAGGAATGATGGATATGAGAGAGAGCAAGAGAAAATGTCAAGTAGGGTGCAGGCAGGCAGAAGCACCAGAAGTGCTGGAATTGTTTAATTACCTTTATATTTCGGAAGATGGTAATAAGCATCCTCTACTTTCACAATGATGTCCTTGGCAGTGGCATTTTTGAAGAGTTTCAATTCAGTGAAATGAATTTTGGGGTGCCTAGAGTTGTTTTTGTTTAGAGGCTGATCATTTGTGTATATATCCATTTTCATTCTATCAGAAGCCTTCCAAAGTGTAAAAAGGAGGGGAAGAGAGGACAGAGGAAGAAGGAAGGGGAAAAGATCTTAAAACTTAGAAAGTAACTTTGAGCAGGAGACCAGCTTAAAGGAACTGCAGTACAGATCGAGATCAAGTTGTTATTCTCCTCTTCTACTGACACTGAACTTGTATTATCCTTTGGAGCTTTTACATGGCTTAGGAGAAGAAAAATCCTGGGATTTTTATATTTAAATGATGTAGAAATCACTGAATGTGAGTTTCTCTTTTACACCAGCCAAAAGGAGGAGTTGAGATAGAAAGCGAAATTCAGCCAGTGGAAAAATTTTTAAGCTATATTTTTGCAGCTCCTGGATCTTAATAAAATCCGGACCCATTATAGTGATTATTAAGAGCACTTGCAGAATTTCAGACAAATTCATGTAAAAGTTATTTCTACATTAAAAAAACAAAACAACTACATTGACATTTCTTTTGAAAAATATACAGCCTCAATGACTATATTTGGAATGACCCATGAGAGGTTGGCATTGAATAGATACTGAGAAGTGACAGGCGCAGGCACAGGCAGCACTTTTTCCAGAATTCAAATATCTCCTTAACACAATGTTTTTCAGAGGCAGGCGGGGCAGCACCAGGTGTCTCAGAATCACCTGAATTTACTCCAGACAGAGTCTGGCCCTGTTGCCCAGGCTGGAGTGCAATGGCGTGATCCTGGCTCACTGCAACCTCTGACTCCCAGGTTCAAGCGATTCTCCTGCCTCAGCCTCCCAAGTAGCTGGGTTTACAGGCATGTACCACCACGCTCAGCTAATTTTTTGTGTCTTTGCTGAGGACGGGGTTTCACCATGTTAGCCAGGCTGATGTGAACTCTGACCTTGTGATCACCCGCCTCTGCCTCCCAAAGTGCTGGAATTACTGGTGTAGGCCACTGTACGGCTGAAATCATTTGTTTAACATTTGGGTGCCAGGCCTCACCCTAGACCCACTGATTCCAGAAATAATCCAAATGTTAATAAGGCTCTGGTGGATTCTTATGAATGCTAGCAATTCAGAACTGCTCCTTTTACAAGAAAACACTTTGGAGACAGGGTCACGCTGTTGCCCAGGCTGGAGTGCAGTGGTGCCCGATGCAACTGCTGCAGCCCTCAAACTCTAGGGCTCAATCGTTCCTCCACCTCAGCCTCCCAAGTAGCTGGGACTACAGGCACATACCACCACACCCAGCCAATTTAGATTTTTAGACAAGGTCGCCACTATGTTGCCCAGACTGGAGTTTCAACTCACCTACCTGGTGATCCTCCTGCCTCAGCCTCCAGACCTGAATTACAGCATGAGCCACCATACCTAGCCAGGATGATTAAGCTTCCAAGAATCTTCACTTACTTCTGATACTTTATAGATTAAAGAAAAGTTGAACTTTGAAATCTAAGCCATCTTTAGCTGTCCAGACTCCACAGTTTAACATGCAAAGTTTGCATCTTTCAACAAATTAAGTTGGAAAACTGTGTATTGTGTATTGCTCTCAAACTACTGATTCTGTCAGTCTTCTTAGTCAAAGTACAACATTCATTTTCCCTCAAGGCTTTCTCTTTACTTTTGGCTTTCTTCATCTTATCTCCATTTTACTTTATTTTATTTTATTTATAATTTTTTTATTATTTTGGGATGGAATCTCGCTCTGTCACCCAGGCTGGAGTATGGTGGTGATCTTGGCCCTGCAATCTCCACCTCCCGGGGTTCAAGCGGATTCTCACTGCCTTAGCCTCATAGTAGCAGAGATTACAGGTATGCCACCATGCCTGGCTAATTTCCTTATTTTTAGTAGAGACATGTTGGTCTCTGCCTTACTTCATATTGTTTAGTCAGGCTGGTCTAGAACTCCTGACACTGGCTGATCCATACCTGCCATAAGCTTCAGTGCTGGATTACAGTACAAACCACCCGTCTTGACATCATTTATTTTAAGAGGAATAATGTTTGGAAGAAGCTTTGTATATCTTAGATCAAGATATCTGGTGAAAGCCTACTCTGATATCTAGAAGGTATATTGGGAGGGGGATACTGGATTTGTCACCAGGTGGAATAAGTCAATCAAGAAAGTATAACCTCTGCTTCTGTTTTGGGGTTAGGTGAACTGGCCCAGAAAACTCTGGCATTAACAAAGACCATCCCATTTGGTCAGTGACTCATGTGTCCAGGAATTCTCATTGGAAAGGAGTGATGTGTTGCCAGAGGGATTCTTAGAAATGGGCATGTATGACTCTCACCTCAGTCACTACAAGGGGCCACTGTTGATTGTTTGGAAATGACGTGCATGCCTTACTCCTTAATTAGCTTGGATCAGGCAGATCAAAGAGATATACACAGTGGAATAAATACCTTTTCTTTCAGGGAGTCAGGATCTCCTAAGCATATTACAAATTACCTTCTCAACAACCAAAAGTTCCTCATGTCTGCCTTCACCTCCTCCCTACCTGGATCTCAGTGCAGAGGGAAGGATGGGTGGGATAACAAAGGAAGAGGAAGAGCTCTCACCCATAGAGGGTACAGGGAAGGCAGGAAGAACACAGTGCAATTGTTTAGTGTCCACTAAATTGAGATGTGAAGGTATTAATTTTTAGTAAATATTAATTACTAAAATATTTATTATGCTAGGCATGGTGGGTCTAACTGAAATTTTGTATCCTCTGACCAACATCTCCCCAACCCTTCAGCCTCCCGGCCCTAGTAACCCATCATTCTACTCTCTAATTCTATGATTCAACTTTTTTAGATTCCACATTTAAGTGAAATAATGCGGTATTTGCCTTTCTGTGCCTGGCTTATTTTACTTAACAAAGAATCCTCAATGTTGTCACAAATGTCAAGATTTTCTTCTTTTTAAGGCTGAATAGTATTCCACTGTGTGTATATAGACGTATTTTCTTTATCATTCAGCCATTGATGGACACTTAGGTTGATCTTCCTACTTAGTCCTGCACAATGTTCTCTAATCAGCCCCTGAGCCTATCATGCATAGCACATATCTTCCTGTTGACCAAGTTCTGAACTAACTACTGGAAAACCAAGGTGCTCAGACATTCAAACAAATGGAATATATTCATAAAACTCACCCTGGCATGCCAACTGTCCCCAGAGCCAAAGACACTGGTATTGTGTCTGGCCACTCTGTCAACAGCTTTTCAGATCTTTCCCATCAGAAATGGAGTGTGTTGTCCAGCCTAGGAGAATCAGTACAATAGTTCCTTTTGTTAAGGTCTGCATTTTACTTTCCACAACTCTGAAGATAAAGCACATTAAGACATTAAGGCATGGGACATGTCTTCCCTTTCAAGGGGAGTCAGGATGCCTTCAGGGTTAGTGTTGACATAAGGGGCACTGAGGTTGATATTCCACGACTGATGATCCACCACCCCCTCCATCTTAATTTTTAGCCATGTTATAGGGGTCATCAGATAACTCTGAACTGGCCCAGCCCGCCCGAGAGTGGCTCGACAGGGTGAGGAAGCCTTCATGGGCAGGAAGCGACTGTTTCTCACCCACTTCTCTTCCTTTAAGCAAGGAGGCCTCTGTCCTCTGGCTCAAGGTGACCTGGACACTAGCTTTCTCTTCTTCAGGTGTCGCTCTCTTTCCCTTGGCCTTCCACTCTCCAGAATCTTTGAGATTTTTTCCTCTCTACTCTACCTTTCTTAACATATAAGTATATGCTCAACTCTGCCGTCTTATAATCCCATCTCCTATCTCCTTGCTCCTTCATCTTCCTTTTTCATTAACCACCACTTTCCATTCATGTGCTAACCCACTGCAACCTGCCTTCCACCCCTACTACTCCACTAAAGTCCTAACAACCTTCTGAGCACAAAAATCAGCGGATATTCCTTAATCATTGTCTGATTTTACTTTTCCCTCTCTCCTTCCGTCTCTCTCTCTCTGTCTCTCTCTCTCTCTCTCTCTCTCTCTCTCTATATATATATATATATATATATATATATATATACACACACTTTTTTTTTTTTTAAGATGGAGTCTTGCTCTTGTCGCCCAGGCTGAAGTGCAATGTAAGGTGGCGATCTTGGCTCTGCAACCTTCACCTCCTGGGTTCAAGCAATTCTCCTGCCTCAGCCTCCTGAGTAGCTGGGATTATAGCGCCTACCTACACCACACCAGGCTAATTTTGTCGTTTTAGTAGGGACGGGGTTTCACCATGTTGGCCAGGCTGGTCTCGAGCTCCTGACCTCAGGTGATCCGCCTGCCTTGGCCTCCCAAAGTGCTGGGATTGTAGGTGTGAACCACTGCGCCCGGCCTACCCTTTTCCACTCTATTAACACAGGGTCACCCAAAAGTCTCCCCTCATTGGTTCCCAGGATACTAATGATCTCTGCTGGCTTTTTGCCTTCTCCTCTAAGCTGCACCCTTTCTGTCTCATTTGGTTCCTTACTGCTTTAAGTAACTCTTATCCTTCTTTACCATCTTTCGTCCCCAGATCATAAAGTTATATAACACATATTTATTCTAGAAAATTTTTAAAGCACTAAAATAAAATATCAGTTCTAATCTGCAGCACAAGAATAACTAACATTTGGGTGTATTTTATGTCAGTCTTAATGGTGAATTTTAAAATGTGTACTATACGTATTTTTTTATTTTTATGTTTATTATTTGAGACAGAGTCTTGCTTTGTCACCTGACTGGAGTGCAATGGTGCACTTCTCATGGCACTCTGCCTTCTGACTCCGGGTTAAGCAATTCTCTGCCTCAGCCTTTCCACAGATAAGCTGGGACTACAGGCGCGTGCCACCACACCCACCTAATTTTTATATTTTCAGTAGAGACGGGGTTTCACCATATTAGGCAGGATGGTCTTGATCTCTTGACCTTGTGATTTGTCTGCCTCAGCCTCCCAAAGTGCTGGGATTACAGATGTGAGCCACCGTGCTAGCTGCATTATACATATTTACATAATTGAAGTAATTGCTCTGCTTTATAA